ACCGTTCTGATCCCAAAATTAAACACGCACATGATTTGGAGAAGCTCGGAGAATACATTCGCAGCATCTTATCAGCTAACTAAGGGAATTCAGGTCAGGAAGTTGGTTAGAATAGATAAGAGGACCGACGCAGTGTTAAATACGGACCATATAGATCCCATGAGGTGACCCTAGGGTCGAAGGTGCAACGTGATCTTTTGTTAAGTGGAGATCGTAATCACGACAATACCGACATTCTAGCAATAACTGACATGTCTCTTGAAGATAAAATGAAAAGGAAGACGGCACTCGTTGAAATAGAAACCCGTTGACCAAATGGTGAGGTAAACCTCCGGTTAGTGTCCTTACGGATAGTTAGGTATTAGAGGCAAATTCTACCAAGGCCTGTGTGGATAGGCTCTTCTCCCTAGGAGTTTTATATGCCAACTCTCGTAGTCCAAGAAATAAACTATATGGACTAGAGGCATTAGTGAACGAATTGGGGCCACTCAGTGTATCAGTGACAGAAACCTGGTCAGTCCAGGACTTCGACATTAATTCAGAATTATCCGGATACCACTACCTAAGAAGTGATAGATAGTAATGTAGGAAAGGAGGTGGCGTCGTTTTGTGCGTAGCCAACAATATAGATATCCACTCCCTCACTTGCGAATCCCATGAGAGTGGAACTTCTGAAGTTATTAGCTATGAGCTCACTATTGGATGTGGTACATTTCTACTCGGTGTCATCTGTCGCAGCCCAATCTGCTTAGCTGATGACTTTATTTTAGAGCACATTCTGTGCAAATAACAGATACTTGATATTAGGAGACTGTGATGCACTAAATATTAGTTGGACTCAGATGACAATGGAAGGATCTATAAACTCCTGTAGTGACCTACTCTTGTCAACAGAACGCGATTGGTTCGATGAAAACAATTATTATTATTATTATAACCAATTGTACCAGTGATTGTTTTACTGTGCTCGTTTGTTTAACCGTGCTAATGACAGATAATCACTCTCCCGTTGACTTTGAACTTGTACGAATTCGGTTACGCTTAGTAACCACGCTTGTACTCCTTTGGCACGATCTCGGTATTCTTTCGATACCACGAGATTGCCAACAAATACAACTCGACTACAGCCATCCTCTGCTTTCTGATATTGGCCTACGGGGATCTTATTGGTTAATTGGCACGTAGTCTTCTTGTAGTGGTGTTCATAGTCAATAGCGCGACTCGACTCCACGCCACCCTCCTTTGATAGTATATTCCTGATAACAGTAATAGAGTATACATTCAGTCAGCCAGTTAGCTACAACGGAGGACCAGGCACGTATATGCATCGGTCCAAGTTGCCATATCTCATTTGCACAACAAGATGAACGCCGATTTCATAGAAGTAGTTAATTCAGTGGTGACAATACATAAAAGAAAGATTGCATATAAGGACATAGTACAGGAGGAGAGAATTAGTTCTTAAAAAGAAAGGGCATGCCCTAGTACAACATGCATCGAAACCCACACGTTTTGGTGCAAAATAAGTTTTTTCTCTGTTGGACTTGGTAATCACTCACGTAACTGAATATATTGACAACCTAAATAGTCTCTCCCCATTAGTGATTAGCGATCACGCTGTTTTGAAATTCACGTCAACAGCTAGTGATGGAATTCTATCACTTCTGGTACAAGAAAATCCGTTAATATATGCAAGAAATGATAACAAAAAGTTGAAGCCTTATTGGAATATTTAAGTAATGAAGAACGACCACGGGTTCATTGTAATTGTGGCGGCTTGTTGGTAGACCCTGTAGTAATTGAGAAAGATACTGTCTTAAGGCTACTTCAGCATTTCAAACCTGATGATATTCGTCCTAGAATTATGAAAGCCCTATCAGATGTAATTGCTGAACCTTTAGTGACACTGTTTGATATGTCTCTGACGCAATCCAAAGTGTCCAGAGACTGGAAAGACGCGATAATTAGTCAGGTGCATAAGGTTAATAGTAGAAATTTAGCTAGTAACTATAGACCCGTTAGCTTAACTATTGCAGTTTTAAAAGTGATGGAAAATATTATTTGGATAGCTGTTATAAACTTTATGGAAGAGCTCAAGCTTTTATCCAGGAAAAAACATGATAACCTGTAAAAAGTGGAGTTTCCCAAGGCGCAATCCTCGGTCCTCTTCATTTTTTACTTAATGTAAATGAACTGCCAACTGTATTAAAGTCGTCCGTCCTACTCTGCGACGATGACATAAAGATTTGGAGACCCATGCACTATGCTAGATAGAGTAGTATTGCAGGGTGATTTCAGCTCATTGGTGGCATAGATGGGAAGGTGGTGACTGAAAGTAAATTCTAATAAGAGTGTGGTGACGCAATTAAATAACTAAATGATATGTATCGCCACACAATATGCGGATTCATGCCACACAAAGTAGGAAACCATAAAATTTTAGGAGTCATACTAAACAGTGATCTCAAAACTACCAGTCACTGTAAGACTGCTGCTTCAAAAGGCTATAGGGTGTTATGGTTTATTCGTAGGTCTTTCCAGTATTTAGATGACCACATTTGGAATGTGGGATTCAAGCAGCGAGTCCTTGTTTCAAGTATGAAGCAGATATACTGGAAAGAGTCCAACGACGACGGACTAACATGGTAAAGGCCTTTCTATCCTACCTTATAAAGACCGACTGAAACACTTTAACTTATTTCCGTTATCTTATTGTAGAATACGGCGTGACCTATTATTGGCTTATCTTATACTGAGCGATGGCCTTGGTATTAACATGTCTTATCTTTGGCTTCTATTTAGGACCGATAATTTTGGAACACATTTGAAGAAACTTCAGAAATCGTGATCAAATCGTTTACGTCTAAAGTTTCGTTTCTCGTACCGAGTACTGGATTACTAGAATTCTCTACCAGAACACGTAATATCAGCACTTTCTGTTGATATATTCAAAACGAGATTGGACTTCCACAGTGTTAGAAACTGCAAGGATTAATATAGGTGGATAGGCCTCTTATCTATTTGAAGCCTACATGAACACCGCGTATTATCAGCTGTTACGCTACCGTGTGGAGTATGTTGTATGTCAATTACTAAGGTTCTGATTCTTCCAGTTCCCTCGACTTTCGAACTAAGATTAAGATTTCGTGATATTACAAACAGAAAGAGTGGATATCGCTGTCAGACCTTTCGTTATTACTTCTGTATTTTCATGAAGACAAGTTGAGGTAGTGATATGTACTGATCAGTACTCAATTCTTGAGCAGGTGCCGAACATATCTCTTCCAAAGCGTTTTCCAGGGTTTGATTTGTAAATACTACTATGTCTGTTGCAGAAAAATCTAACTAAATTAAGACGGGAGGATACTAGTTAGTATAGACTGACTAGACTGCTACAACGTAGGACCAGGCACATACCGGCACACTTCATTAGCTCAGTAAGATGAACGCCGGATTCATAGAAGTAGTTAATTTGATGGTGTTAATATATAAAAGAAAGATAGCATATCAGGATATATTACCCCAATCTTCCAAGTTTGGGGAGATATTGGGGAATTTCCCCAGATCTGTGGAGATTTTTGGGTTTTGGTGGCATTTACCCAAAGTTTGCTATTCCGGCTTCCCCAAAATTGGGAGCTCGGGACAGTAAGAAAGAATTAGTTCGTAGAAAGAAAGTTATGAAGCGATTTTAATCTCATAGTTTAAGGGAAGACAGAGAGTGTATACACCTACGCCATTGTGATCGATTCTGAAAAAACCATCAACCTTTTTTAGCCCTAGTGAGCCTGTCTTCTTGACTGAAATCGTTTAGCCTCAAGTCTAGGTTAACTATTCCACCCCACATATATTTAGTGCTTGCAACTATTCACACATTACCTTGACCGTTTTTATACATTTATGCGTCTAATCACTTCCTGTATTTCATTGATGTTCATAAAAACTGACTTACTTTATTATCTTCGAAGTTTATGTATTGTATAACTCGAATCTACCCATTTTTGTCTGCTGCTCAACATTCGCATGTTTGAAATATAAGTATCCTAAATACAATTCACATTCATCCGCGTTGTGTCAATGTGATTTATCGACAGAATGTCTGCCAAGTAAATATGATTTACATTTCATTGGTTTTAATAATATTTGGTTGATATGAAGTGAACAACGAGCGAAAATAGTCTACTACTGTTCTGTTGTATCTTCACTAATCATTTGTTAAGCTATCGTAAAATATAGACCACTTTTGCCCTAGGTTTCTCTCTAGGTCAACCATTTATGACACAAAGCACTGGTTTAAACATTGTACACAATTTACTCACTGATTTCTCGTGCCGGAGGTGTTCTTTACGAAGTTTACAGAACAAAATGCGAATGCCGGTGCTTTAATCGAGTTAATGGATATGGAGGATCAGCCCAGGGGAGTTGGTAAACCCTGATACCAAACCAATGGTCCAAATAAGCTCCAGGATCCTGAGGGAAAGAATGGCGTATGAACCCAATGTTGGTCGCCAGCTACCATGGGAGCGTACCTCCTAACGTTGCTCCACTGCCTTTTGGATTGGACCTTAAGGTCAAAGGCTCGGGGGGTGGCCCCCTGAGTAAACCACCTGGTTCAGTTTGGGCGCCCGGGCAGTATTTCAACCGTCAAGCAAATCGAATGATAAAGTATGGTGCATATATATTCGGTGCCTCCTTGAACGAATATGCTTAAATAATAATAAAAGTGACTTACCGCGATAAAGTCTTGTATACCTGCGTAGCTTTCTGAATAACGCTTGAAAACTAACAAAATAAAGGGATCGGTATGTTTAATAAAATGATAATTCCACGACTCATGGTCGGGAGTAAAGACTAATATTAGTCTCTAATGAGTTAAATTAAGAGGACACTTGGTCATGTGTTCCTATTGTCTTTATTTTTTCTAGAACTTCCCCCTATTTGAATTTTGGAAAAGAGGCCTTCCAGATAGTATACACAGAAAGCATTAGGAACTTACCAAACTGATGAAACGAGTACATGTTGAAAGAAGCACTATAAAGTATTATTTGAATCGCGTGCATTGCTTGTCATCTATAACAGATATTGAAGAGAAACGTAAGTTCTGCTAAGGCTATGTAAAATTATAAATTGTATTTTTCATTGAAATTCCAATTATTCAAGGTTCATCCAATTTGTTGCTAAGTCGCTTTTATATATTCATTAATTACTAGCTTTAAAGTGTGTTCAAAATTATAACTATATATATGAATGTACAGCGTAAGTAAATGGTTTCGTCGAAAAGAAAATTTTCTTCGCTGAATTCTATTTTTCTTATTTAAAGACTAATCACCTAGATACTTAGCAAGGCAGCCGTTTTTATAAATGTTTCTTCACGTGGGTTGTGTGGCAATGATGTTACATTATACATCGAGTTCACCTGAGCAAAAACGTACCGAGAGGAATATAAACTCCTTATTGTGATTGACAAAATGAACGCTGAAAAGGACGTAGCGATGGTGCCATTCATCAAACATGATATCTGTAGATAAATTTTACGTAAGGTCAGCATTGTTGCTGACTTTTATGTAGTAAAAAGCGAGAGATGGTGGTTGCTAGTGTCAGTATAGACCTTTGTTCAATTAGGTGTTCAGATTTGTTTGGGTAGGTTTTCGCATGTACCACCTGCACTATTTATATTTTCACGTCTATGACAAATAGTTTTTGGTTTCAAGCACTTCTTTTATATACTTTCAGACAACTTTATACTAAATACGTTTTTGGCATTTCAAAAAGATGGTTGGACATTAGCACTACATCCACAAGTATGCAGATGTTTAGAAGAACTAATAACAGATGCAAACGTGGAGTGTATTGCTCTCTTGCTAAAAATTCTATCCAAAGATTGGGGTCGACTAATCAATAGCAAGTTTGCATATCATTTGCTTCACAAGGCATTGTTTAAATGTCAATCACCTGAATATAACGCCGACGAATTGATTGTTGATCATATACGAAGTTTCTGTACTCATATGAAAGAAAATCTGTCAGTCTATATAACCAATATTCATACAACGCATACATGTCGCATTTATCCACAAATTTTAGCTGGAGTTCCTTTAGAAAAGGACAAGAAAACAAGTATACTGCTAAATTAATAATATCATTTTTCAAAGATACTTATAAGTCATCTGTTCAACTTGTCACACCGTACGATGAAAATTATATTCAATCACTTAATGAGTTGTGTAAGGAGTTCTTATTTACGAAAGCATTGAAAAGTAGGTTTTTTTAGTGTTAAAACCATATCTTAATTAATACTATCTAGATCATGTGGTCGACGAACACCTCTGTCCATTTATTCAAGTATTATTGCTTGTTGCATCAGCTCGTCTTCCTGATGTATTTACGAAAAAGTTTAAAAAGGTTATGAAGTATTCTGGTTTGTTTAGTCTGAATTTACAAGAAGACGATTCGATTACAAGGTTAGTAAAAACACTTATTATTTTTATTCCTATGTATTAGGGAGAATTGGTTTCGTCTAAACTGTTAGTGTACATTAGTTAAAAATCTCTTGAGTTCATATTAGCTTTCATTTGTAACCAGTATAAAGTTCGTTTCATAACTAATCACTTGATTTTTCAGGGAGTTTCGAATAGTTGTCATGACTGTCATTGACATAAATACCGGAACGAGAGTTTTCTAAACAATGATTTACTTCACAATACATTGCTTTATGTATTCGGTTTTAAGTCATAATTTGTGAGGTCTGCCGACACTACCTGGTTGCTCGAACCTGAAGTAGTTCGAGGAGCATCTGAATTTATAATCTATTGATTAGAAGCTAATTGTTCTAACCACGAAGTAACTACTCTAGGGCTTTATTTCTGGATTTATTACATCCAAAGAATCTAAATAAATTGGGTGGAATTACATGCGTAATTGTAGTAAGTCAGTATATTATAGAAAAGCAGATTGAAATATATGTATTCTTAATTGCGAGGTCTCATCTTAACTATTTTTTCCGAAATTTCCATCGAATCAGTAATAAATAGTTTTGTTATCCATTTATTTTTCATATCTTTTGAAGACTATAGTTTTGCCAAGTAGTTTTTATACTTGTGATCTATGTACCCTGTTAATGTATAACGTAACGATACCGCCGATTAGAGAGCAGTGAATTATCGATCGGACCAATGATGCATAAAACCCCATATGAGCAGTCTAGAGTCCTTATCGGTCCTGCTTCCTGCTTAGCCCAACCAGTTAAGTCCAGAACGGCAATCTCAGCCTCTGCAATATGAATCATGTATTCCAAACATACTCGGTTTACATACCAACCAGACAGACCACATCGTACCATAAAATAGAAAATAACATTTGTACAAGATTAGCCAAATGTGGCTGTGAACGTGGGAGGTAGTAATTAATAGACACAGTATAACCCAAGAATGGTAAATGGTATAATAATAGTTCATGGGTCAAAATAAAGCTGATGATAAGAGGGACATGATTATAGTTATTTGCAATCATACGATAAAAATATACGCATAGTATTGGTTCATAAATGGATCCCAAAAGTTACCATTCATTATGCTTATCAGGATATAACAGTAGTAGTAATAATTATCTGGTGCGTGCAGGATGTATTATGACTTTTAAAGTTATGTTCGTCCACGGCATTGTTACGTCCTGTACTTGATTACGGCAGAATACGATATAGAACTAAGGGCACTCGAACGTGTAGAATCCTACAGTTGCAAATCAGATGGAAGAAGCAAAGGAAGTGACTATTGGGTAAGGTTCAAAAATGCATGGGAAAACATTGGTATTTGTAGTTATTAGCGTTGGCTATGACATCATTATAATTTAACCAATCTTCAAGGAAGCAGGTTATGCTACCGTCCAATCGTTGCATGCCACGTTGATGTTCTAGAAATCTCCATCAGGTTCTGACTGGGTGCAATCTTTTCGGCTCCTTTAAAGCATCTGGATGCTTCTTCGTGCTTCTAAAGAGCCATCCTAACAAACATGACTAAGTAGATTGATTGCGAATGCTGAAACCTTAAGCATACTTTCAGTGTTAGTCAGATGGTATTTCCTGTCGATTTTCAGTAGTATTTTCAATAAATTTACAGCCAACACTAATAATTTTTTTATTACTCACGGCTACCACTGATCACAGTCCTCTTAGGTAGTAAAGTGCAACTTCAGACTGCGAACATTAACATTTTGTCAACCAGTCAGTTAAAACGCGTTGGACCAGGCACATATGTGCATCGGTCCAAGTTGCCACACATTTAGTACGTTGACAAAGATATAACGTACCCTCTTCTTTTAACGGAACTGCGTTTACATGCAAGTTTATGGCCTAGTGATTAATGTGTTAAAATTTTCAACTACTTGTTTACAGGTTCAAACTCCGCCCCATTTTTTTCACTCTAGAAAGTGAGGTAGTATTACTTATCTGGTAGTCTGAGGATATTCTATATGATGACAGTCCTAGGGATACAGTTGTGATTCGCGAACGTATTTCTCGTTAGCTTACTGCTATCACACTTTTCCTATTTCAGATATCTTGGTTCTTATACTCACCCAGTTGCCACCTACTTTGCTGAACTTCTCGTGGAGGTTATGCCAGGGGTTAATTTTGCAGAATTTTTAAACACTCATATTTTATCAGAGTGTTCACTCTCTTTGGATAGCAATGATTCAAATCCCGTAACAGTAGCAGATCTTCTTATGTCAAATCCAACAGCCAGTCGTGTGTTACGAGCGGTCATTCGACGTTTAGTAAAACCAGTTGATATTAAAAACTTTTTCACTGTTATTCAATCGTGCAAAAGTAATAAATTTGGGATACGTAGCATTATTCCCAATAAACAGCATGGTATATTAACAGATTTAGCTGATTTATGTATCAGGCATCCTTCTGAAGAATTTCAACGTACATTCCTACGAGTAAACATTTTATATATTATATATATTAACATTTGTATTATTAGTGAAATAGCTTGTGTTTTGAAATATCCTAATCCATTTCAAGCCTATATTGTTCTTATTCAGATTATTATGTATATACAACTATTAGAGACTAAGTGAATTCGGTGTTCATCTTATTGTGCTAATGAGGTGTGGCAACTTGGATCGATGCATATATGTGCCTGGTTCTACGTTGTAGCTGACTGACTGACTGAATAGAGATTAAGAAAAGACCAACCGTACTCGGACTAAGATATCGAATTTATTTATGACTAGTGGGCATGATCATTACTCATCAAAAATGTGACCATTTGAATATACATTCTTCTTCAAATTGGCTGATTTATATATAATGTTAAGTAGCAAGTTATTTATTCATATCAACTATATTATTGTTTATCATTCCATCAATAAGAATTTGTAATTTCTTCATTGTAAGGACTTACCATTGATTATCCTGCTTCGGTTTGGGCACCCGGGCAGTATTACAGCCCTCACACAAATCAAATGGGATTTGTGTGGCGCATATGTATCTGGTGCTCCCTTGTACCAGTATTTATGTGTTCAAATAAATAAATAAACCATTGATTACAACTCCTCTATACAACATCATTTTATTGTTTAATATTCTTCACTTATTCAACCCATCCCAATTTCCTACTTCTTATCATACTTGTTTTAAGTCATTCGATTTATGATAACATTCTGTGTGTTAGTTTTATTTGTTTTCCAAAACAAAAACTGTTGAAAAGATCAGTGGTTATCCTTTTCCAAAGAAAAATGTTTATGTAACTTGACTAACGCTTTTGAGAAAAGAGAACTATTTCTAGGATAACTAAATCAGTCGTTTTCACGAACCAAAGATTTTATAATGATAATCTGCACGCCTGAAGTTCCTGGGTCCAACTCCTGCGTATGGGATTATCGATACGCACTGTTGAGAAGTCTCGTGCTAAGATAAAAAACTCATCCACTACTTCTAGGTTTCAAATCTTGACCATAGCTGCTACCTTGACGTGGTGATCGGGATCTCCTATCATGATGACCAAACCAAGCTATATTGGCTGGAACATATGTTCCTGCAGGTTCTACGATGCCAGACAGGTCGATTGGTGAACGGTAAGACTAAAAGCAGGAACTCAAGGTCTGAGGGTGAAGTCGTACTGTTGACTATAGAAGGGTAGGACAGCAGTAAGGTGTTTCCCTCGGACAACCAGCATCTGCAGTGATGCTACCTTCCCATAAGGAAGGAAGGGGTTAGAAATGGTCGACCTTAAAAATATCACATCTCATTTTACCTCACGGATTTCGTCTCCGGCAGTTAGGCCCTTTGAAGAACGGAGCTAACACGTTAAAATACGTCCCATGGAAAGGCGGTGCGCAACCGGCCTCAAACAGTTGTCCTTTGAACTCTGTGGTCACACTCCCAGGTCTTTAAGACCAACACTAATTCAACTTCCTTTTCAGGTTCCTCAAGAAATACCCTTCCAAGGTGTGGGCAAACGGGAACTGATATCAACCCTCATACTTGTAACAACACATGAGGTTTGAAATGATGGTCTAATTTATATTGATTCATGATTTCAATGAAATATATCATCATTATTGTTGTTTATTTATTTATTTATTCAACATTTCTAGTTGCTACCGTCAATTTTTGGTTTTACTGAAAAACATTCTTCTTCAAAATCTAAAGAAGATTTATTCATTCGTTGTCTTGTTGGAATGATATCTCTAAGTGAATTAAATGAATACATCAATAATCAATCAGTACAAGAAAAGAATAATAATAATAATAATAATAATAATGATAATCACTACTCTGACACTAAAGAAGATCTAATCAATCCAGTCACTGTACCAGGATGTTTATTTGTTGAAAGTTTATTTAAATTCACTTATACTCATCCTATTAAAGTGATTAATAGTTTATTAAGTCAATCTTCTAAACGTTTAATTGTATGGGCACAACATTATCAATTATCCAGGTTATTAGAAGCGATAATTTTATCAGAATGTGTCATTAATGAATTGAAAATTACATTATTGAAATCTTTAATGGTTAGTTGATGTTATATTACTTTGAAAAATAATATATATATATATATATATATATATATATATATATATATATATATATATATATTACTTACGCCTGTTACTCCCAATGGAGCATAGGCCGCCGACCAGCATTCTCCAACCCACTCTGTCCTGGGCCTTCTTCTCTAGTTCCATCCAATTCTTGTTCATTTTTCTCATGTCTGTCTCCATTTCTCGGCGTAATGTATTCTTTGGTCTTCCTCTCCTCCTTCGACCTTGAGGATTCCATATGAGGGCTTGTCTTGTGACGCAGTTCGGTGCTTTCCTCAATGTGTGTCCTATCCACTTCCAGCGTTTCTTCCTGATTTCTTCCTCCACTGGGATCTGATTTGTTCTCTCCCACAGTAGGTTGTTGCTTATAGTGTCCGGCCAGCGGATCTGAAGTATTTTGCGTAGACAACTGTTAATAAACACCTGTATCTTTTGGACGATGGATTTCGTGGTTTTCCAGGTTTCCGCCCCATACAGTAGAACTGTTTTGACATTTGTATTGAAAATTCTGACTTTGGTGTTGGTTGCTAATTGTTTTGAGTTCCAGATATTCTTCAGTTGTAAATATGCTGCTCTTGCTTTGCCAATCCGTGCCTTCACATCTGCATCAGATCCACCGTGTTCATCACTAATGCTGCCCAAATATTTAAAGGTTTTTACATCTTCCAAATCTTGTCCGTCAATTGTGATTGGATTGGTGCATGCTGTGTTGTATCGAAGAATCTTGCTTTTCCCTTTGTGTATATTGAGACCTATTGCTGCTGAGGCTGCAGCTACACTGGTTGTCTTCTCCTGCATTTGTTGTTGCGTATGCGATAGAAGAGCCAGATCATCTGCGAAGTCTAGATCGTTCAGCTGCATCCTAGCTATCCACTGTATCCCGTGCTTCCCTTCAGATGTTGATGTCTTCATGATCCAGTCGATCACCAGGAGAAAGAGAAAGGGTGAGAGTAAGCAACCTTGCCTGACACCGGTCTTTACTTCGAACGACTTTGTCAACTGTCCTCCATGCACGATTTTGCAGTTTAATCCATCATAGGAATTCTGTATGATATTGACTATCTTCTGAGGCACGCCATAGTGTCGAAGATGCTTCCATAGGGTTGTTCTGTCCACGCTATCAAATGCTTTTTCGTAGTCGATGAAGTTGATATAGAGTGATGAATTCCATTCAATTGATTGTTCCACAATGATCCGTGGTGTTGCGATTTGGTCTGTGCACGATCTATCCTTACGGAATCCTGCCTGTTGGTCTCGAAGTTGTGCGTCTACGGAGTCCTTCATCCTGTTTAACAATACCCTGTTGAAGACTTTTCCTGGTATTGAGAGAAGAGTGATTCCCCTGTAGTTGTCACAGTTTCTGAGATCGCCTTTCTTTGGTATTTTGACCAGAGGTCCTTCTTTCCAGTCTTTTGGTACCTGTTCCTCATCCCAGATCTTTCTGAAGAGAGTTTGGAGTATCCTTGCAGTTGCCGCTACGTCTGCTTTCAGTGCCTCTGCTGGAATGCTGTCTAGTCCTGCTGCTTTGCCACTCTTGATTTGTCTGATAGCCATGCTGATTTCTTCAATTGTCGGTGCGCCAACATCAATTGGGAGGTCCGTGAGTGCTGCTTCGATGTTGGGTGGGTTCAGTGGAGCTGGTCGATTCAAGAGTTCTTTGAAGTGTTCTACCCACCTGTTTCGTTGTTCTTCAATGTTGGTGATTATCTTGCCTTCCTTGTTTTTCACTGGTCGTTCTGGTTTACGGTGATTTCCAGAGAGTTTCTTTGTTGTTTCATACAGTTGTCTCAAGTTTCCTTCTCTGGCAGCCTTTTCCGCCGTCAATGCCAAATCTTCCACATATTTACGTTTGTCAGTTCTGATGCTCCTTTTCACTTGCTTATTTACTTCTGTGTATTCAGCCTGTGCCTTGACTTTTTCTGCTCTTGTTCGATTGGTATTGATTGCTGCTTTCTTGTTCCTCCTTTCTTGAATCTTATCCAGTGTATCGATCGTGATCCAATCCTTGTGATGGTGCTTCTTTTGGCCCAGAACCTCATGACATGTTGAAGTGATTGCCTCTTTTATCTCTTTCCAGTTGCTCTCCATAGTAGTTCCCTCTCCATAGAGCAGATCATGAAAGGCCTGGAACTTATTGCTGAGGGTTATCTTGAATTTGTTGAGTTTGTCATTATCCCGAAGAAGAGCCGTATTAAACTTTTGTGATATTGTCCTCCCCGTTGTCCAGTGCCTCTTGAGTTTCAATTTCATCTTGGCGACCAGCAAGTGATGATCTGATGCTATATCGGCTCCTCTCTTTGTTCTCACGTCCTCCATCGTCCTCCTGAACTTTTTGTTGATGCAGATATGGTCGATTTGGTTCTGTGTGCTGTGATCCGGTGAAGTCCATGTGGTTTTGTGGATGCGTTTATGTGGGAATATAGTGCCGCCTATGACCAGTTTATTGAAGGCACATAGATTTGCAAATCTCTCACCATTTTCGTTCCTTTCTCCCAGTCCGTGTCGTCCCATGATCTCTTCATATCCGGTGTTGTCAATTCTAACCTTGGCATTAAGGTCTCCCATCAGAATAGTCAGGTCTTTAGTTGGGCACTTCTCGACGATTGACTGCAGCCTATCGTAGAATTGATCTTTAGCGTCTTCATTGTAGTCGTTGGTAGGCGCGTAGCATTGGATGACGTTCATTGTAATGCCCTCTTTCTTTGTTTTGAAGGAGGCTTTGATGATCCTTGGTCCATGAGATTCCCATCCTATAAGTGCATTTTGTGCTTGTTTGGACAGCATCAATGCAACTCCTTGTGTATGTAGAGCATTTTCTTGTTCATGTCCGGAGTATAACAGCAGCTCCCCTGAAGCTAGTCGTTGTTGTCCAACTTGCGTCCAATGTGTTTCACTGATCCCAAGCACCTCTAAATTGTATCTCCTCATTTCTGCAGCAATTTGGAAAACTCTTCCAGTCTCCCACATTGTGCGAGCATTCCATGTACCTAAATAAGTGGTTGCTCTGGTTGTCAGAAGGGGCATCGGCCTCGTGACTTCCGAAGAAACTCGGCTTTCATCATGAGGCGTCATAATTCTTCTAAACGAAGACCTCCTGACTCCCAGGGCAGAGTTTAAATGGTTTGAATAATTTTTTCTGGTTAGCGTTTTTTAGCGAGTTAGTTTTCTACGGGATGGGGTCGCTAACTCCATGCCCAACCCTCCTCCTTTATCCGGGCTTGGGACCGGCAGTAGCCCCCGGAAAGGGGCTCCAGGCGGAGTTATATATATATATATATTGTTGGTGAGACTATTTATTTATTTTATTTCAACACATAGGTATAGGTATAAGGAGGCACCAAATACATATGCTCCACATGAATCTCAATTGATTTATGTAAGGGCTGTGATACTGCACGGGTGCCCAAACCGAACCAGTGGTTTTCTTAGGGGACCACACCCCGAGCCTTCGACCTGAACGTCTGACCCACAAGGCAGTGGAGCATTGCAAGGAGATGCAGTCCCATGGTAGCCGGTGACCAACGATTGGTGCATACACCATTTGTTCCTTCAGGATACTGGAGTTAGCCCATGTGCACAATCGGTTTGGGATCCGGTATAGCGCCGGACATTCGCTTTTGGTCCTCTCATTTTCGTAAACAATATCCGTGGCTCGTGAAGGCAGTGAGTAGAACTTGCCTGGCAGAGGCTATATACGCTTGGCCATGTGAGAGCATTTGGAGAGGGAGAGCGGACTCTCCCCACTCTCGGCCGTACCAGGGTATTTGGGGGCATATATATATATATATATATATATATATATATATATATATATATATATATATTGTTGGTGAGATTATAATTTATGGACACGAACCAATCAGAAGAGGGTATAAAATAAAATAGGTCTTGGATTTTTTGACGCAAATTTTATTCATCCATTTAAGTAAATAGAGTTCTAGTATTATAGTTAATGTCAATTTATGATGAACATTCTAAACCTAATTCTTAACTCTTACCATCAACTGTAAATCAGGATTCTAATTCTGTACATTGGTTTCTAAACCTCAGTTGGTTCTAGTTATTAGATGGATACTGTCAAGGTCAGTTTAGCGTTGTTCAAATATCATCCATAAATTCTAGTCTCACTATAATATTTTGTTCTTCTGATATAATGGTTATGTTTTAGCTTATGGCTTTCTTACGCTAACAAATTTTCATTCGGATATACCTTGGAGTATCTAGTGGTGAAGTTCAGGACGTATAGTTTATGTTGCTTCTAATTATAATCGACTGGAACTCAATAATGAGTATATATTCATTTAGTCAATTTTAAGCTACATTTCTCTTAGCCGCAGTTATTTCGAAAAAAAAAACTATATTGTATTGAAAGAGCCTCTGACCAACGGTTAAATGGGGTCATTCATTCAGGCAAAAATAACAAATGCCTTCAGTGAACAGTTTACGCATAAAAATAGGAATGCAAATTTACAAAAATATAAACAACAAAATGACTAGTATGGTTTGAGTTAATTCATCGTTGATGTTTTTTAACTGAATTTTGATTAGTTTTATTTATTTATTTGAACACATAAATATTGGTACAAGGGGGGCACCAAATATATATGCGCCACACAAACAATGATAATTTGAGGAGAAGGAGAAAAAAAAAGTAATGAACGTGGGGAATTATAAAAAAAAAAGAGAGAGAACAATGGTGGGGGAAACGGAAAGGTACAATCAGAAGAAATCTTTCAGTTAAGGAAGATACAACCACTTTTCGCGAAGAAAGTAAAAGAAGGTTACAGCACGATCGCCATTGGCTTCTATTCTGAGCCATATCTGATAACGTCTCTAGCCACTGTGTTACATCATCTCTAGGACCCCAGCCAGGAAGTCGTGAAGGACCAACAGAAGCTAGCCCTTTGCAGCTTTCTTTCATACCACGACACCATGTCATATACTGACCACCTCTCCGCTTTTTCCAACCAGTCCCAGAGTCGGCAAATAATGCACGACGTGGAATTCTCTGGGACGACATTCGTAGAACATGTCCAAGACACCGAAGTCGGTGTTTCAAGATGGTGACACCAATTGGATTGTTGTCTCTGTGCCTGAACACTCGATGCCGAACCTCTGCATTACTGACATGGTGTTGCCACTGGATGTCAGCAATCCTTCGGAGACAACGATGATCGAACACAGAGAGTCGTCTAACATCCTCACCTCGGTGAGGCCAGGTTGGTATATAGAAGCATGCTGTCCGGATTGCCTTGTTATAACTATTATGACACAGGTTTTCATAAAAACGATGAGTTGTAGCTACCAGTAGAATCTAGAACAGATGTTTCATTTTATTTGGGACTCGTCAGGTGGATGTCTTTGCATTCCGAAGTTGATGTTTACTCCAAGACTCGAACCCAAAACTATGATATATTTGTCCAAGTCGGCCTTGTACAAGATGAAGTCTTTATAATGAATCAATAATTTAATAGAATTATTGACTTTATTTTCGAACTAATAAAATTTTCTAATGGAGCATTCCAGAATTTCAACCGAACACATTTTATGAGACAAAACTAATATTCATATCAGTCAACCAGTTCTCATACTGGACATAGGTGGTGGGCCTGTACAAATGTACATTAGGCCAAGTTCTCATACCATACTAGCACAACAAGACGCATGGTAGAGGATTCGTGATAACTGGATTTCAGTAAGAAAAGCTAAACGTTGAGAGTATGGTTCTGTGCCAGCCTCTGCCAGGAAAGTCCTACTCACTGCCTTCTCGTGACAGGGTGTTGTCTACGAAAATGAGAGGACGAAAAGCGAATGTTGCACATGGGCTTGCTCCAGTATCCTGAAGGAACAAATGGCGTATGCACCAATCGTAGGTCACCGGCTACCATGGGACTGCATCTCCTTACAATGCTCCACTGCCTTGTGGGTCAGACGTTCAGGTCGAAGGCTCGGGGTGTGTCCACCTAAAAAAACCACCTGGTTCGGTTTGGGCACCGGTGCAGTATCACAGACCACACACAAATAAAATGTTGTGTGGCGCATATGTATTTGGTGCCCTCTTGTACCAATATTTATATGTTCAAATAATAATGGTTCTGTGTGAACGTATGCATAAAGGAATAATGAATGTCAATATCTACGGGAAGACATAAAGTGGATACATTCACGCCACTGGCTGACTCTAAGCCATGTTAATCCAAAGTCTACAATATCAGTCATATGTTTATGTATATAAATTAAGTAGCCAATTTACTATAACGTAACAAATGTTTATCCAAGTATAAAAGTGTTAGTCATTAAGTAATCAAAAACACTTTATTGCTTTGATTCTATTTTCGATGAAATTTTTTCTCATCTTCTATTTTGATAATAAAAACTATTTTTATAATTAGCTATTTCTTTAATTCGAGTACATATTTTTCTTTTTTACACATATAGAATGGCTTCTCTGTATTGGCATGTCATCGTAGCGGTAGTCATGTCATTGAAGCATTATGGACGGCTACAAATACTTTACCTCAATCAATAATTTATAAAGAATTAATGGCAGAACAATTAACTAATACTACTAATCATCTTCATTCACATAAATATGGACATTTTATTTATAATAAGTTATCTTTAGAACTTTATAAGAATAATAAAACTCTTTGGTTAACTCGTAATAAATCAACTCAAGCAATGAATAATAAACGGCTTGCTGTTGTTGAAAAATCACAAGGTAAAGTTTGTTTATTCACTAAAGCGATTGTTTGAAAAGTTTTCTTACAAAGCCACAACTGGAGACTTCGATATAAAGGTCTAATCCACAAGGTAGTGGAGCATCGTTAGGAGATGCAGTTCCATAGTATCTTGTGGCCGATAATTGATTCATAAGATTCTATCGCAGTGTTTGTCAATGAAAGGAGTACCAAGGAAGTATATTAACCTTATAAAGGCTCTCTACTCGAACACAACTGGTCGAGTGAGAGGTTATGGCGAACTGTCATCATAACTGATTACCTCAAGTGGTGTTCGTTAGGGCTGTCCACTCTCTCCATTCTTGTTTAACTTTGTCCTTGACTTGCTTTTAGAGATGACACTTTCCTCATCTAAATTTCCAGGAGTTGAGCTTCTACCGGGAGATCCACTTGTTGACTTAGAATATGCCGATGACATAGTTCTATTTGGTGAAGACGCTGACAAAATGCAGAGTCTGCTGACCACTCTAAGCAACAATGCAGGCATGATCAGGATGCGATTTTCTACCTCGAAATGCAAAATGTTACTTCAGGATTGGGTTGCATCGACACCCGAACTAGTGATAGGGAGTGAAGTAGTTGAGCGTGTCGACCGCTTCACTTATCTCGGAAGTCTCATCAGCCCTTGCGGTCTGGTGTGTGACGAAATCTCGGTACGGATACAGAAGGCTCGACTAGCTTTTGCCAACTTGCGTCATTTATGGCGTAGGCGAGATATCCATCTATCAACCAAAGGACTTGTTTACTGTGCAGCAGTTCGTTCCGTCCTACTTTATGGCTGTGAAACATGGCCGGCAAGAGTAGAGGATATTCGTAGGTTACTAGTATTTGATCATAGGTGTCTTCGAAACATTGTTCATATATCCTGGGACCACCGAGTAAGCATCTCAGTTGTTAGGAAACGGGTACTAGTTAAGGATGGCAAAATTACTAGGGAATGATGGTTATGAATCTTCATCGACTGAGATGGTTAGGCCACGTGCTGCGTATGCCTGAACACCGATTACCACAACGTGCGATGTTTTATGGTGTAGGAATAGGTTGGAAGAAAGCTAGGGGCGGCCAGACCAAAACCATGAAGTCACTGACAAGTGGACCGAGCCATATTGGTAGGTGTAGACTACTTGGTTGGGGTCGGCGAGATGATAGCAACCGATGGTTAGAGACCTTGATTGACATGGCTCAAAATCGTTTGCAATGGTGCAGGTGCATCCACTCTTTGTGTTCTCCCAAATTCTAATTTTCTGAATTCTTCATGTCTTTTATTTTCTTTCCAAATTTATTTCACTGAATCATACTCCTTGAATAACATCTTTAAACCCTAATGTTCCCGACTATCGCTTATACTTTTACTACTTCTAACACTATGAGATCGACAACTGCATCTCTATGCTAATGTGGTATGGCAACATGAACTGATGTACGTCCGTACGTACAAAGTTTTACGTTGTTGACTGACTGACTGTAGGAATCACTCAAAATATACTTTAATCATTAATGTTAAAAAAGAAAGAAGAAGAAATAACCGATATTTTATTTTGAATTGTTTTCTTTTATAGATATTAAACGACCACGAAAATCACTCCAATAAACTTTTTGTACATTCAATGTAATATCATGATTGTATAATACCTGAAAATGAAAGTTGTATCATTTTTTTTTTTTGATATACAAAGAAATAATCATTATTTTTTTGATAAAATATTGATTTTTGTTTTTATCGATTTAATATTTGTTTCGGATATCGAACAGATAGATATGAAAGTAAAGTGGTGGTAACTTTAATAGTTAGGGTATCTAACTTTTTTTTTTAACCATTTGTTAGCGGGATATAACTTGTGACCTGAATGCCCTGTTAATGGATAACGTGTTGATACCGTCAATTAGGGAACAGTGAATGATCGATCGAATCAATCACGTGTAAAACTCGTATGAGAAGTCTAGAGTTTTGATTGTTCTCTCTTCCTGTCTGGTCCAGCTAGTTAAGTCCAGAACACCAATCTCAGCCTCTGCAATATGAATCATGTATTTCAAACATACTCGGTTTATATATCAATCAGACAGACCACATCGTACTTTAAAATATGAAACAAGATTTGGCCAAATGTGGCTGTGAATGTGGGAAGTAGTAATTGATAGACAGGGTATAATTCAAGAATGGTAAATCGTATAATAACAGTTCATAGGTCAAAATAAACCTTATAATAAGAGAGACATGAATATGAATAGTTAAGTTACATAACAATTATACAAAAAAAATATACGCATAGTATTGGTCGATAAATGGATCCTAAAAGTTACCATTCATTATTCTTATCGGGGCATAACATATAGATTAGATTGAAGCATGTTCAATGCACGATTGAGTTGCTGCACGCTGATTGGATAAGAATTAGCCAATAAGAGACTGATCAATTACAGTCCTAAGTATCAATCGGTAGATTCAAGTAAACAATACTAAATGAATGAAATAATAATTTAGACATGGATTATTGTTACATCGAAGAGTTATTTTTGTTAATTTACGAGTAACTTTTGAGACATATTATTGAACTAAGATTATCTATACATTCTTATTGTATAAGTATTTATTAACTAGATTGGGTAGATCTACATTCCTCTTATGATAAGCTTTAATTTGACTTATAGACTATTTCAATAGTTGAAATCATGAATCAATTGAAGCTAGACCACCATGAAAAACCTGGAAGCACCGGACGGTCGTTTCGTCCTACTATGGGACTTCTCAACAGTGCGCATCCACGACCTCGCACCCTGCGGGATTCGAACCCAGGACCTACTGGTTTCGCGCGCGAGCACTTGACCACTAGACCGGCATCCAACGGTGTTAATGTCTAACTTCAACCAATCCACGAAGTTGCGCCACCGTCACCATTGTCTTCAGTGAGCTGATATCTCACAATAGACCTGGTTGAACTCCATTGGTCACGGCTTCTCACTAGAACTCCAGGAGTCCCATACTAGGACGAAACGGCCGTCCAGTGCTTACAGGTTTCCCATGGTGGTCTAGCCTCAATTGATTCATGATTTCAACTATTGAAATTACCAATTCTCCACAAAATCCATTCTAGTTATAGACTATTATTATATGATTTAGTGTTTTTAAGTTATGTTCAGTTTATTGATTACTGTCTCTCACGTTGACAGCCACTTTTTGACTTTGTTGAGTCGGCTTTCCGAGAACTACAACGGAACCTCCAGAGGCCCTGAAGGAGCCAAATAGTCCTAGCCAATCAGAGCATGATGAAGCCTTCTAGAATATCAACGTGGCGTACTACTATTGGTCAGTAGCATAATATGTCTTTTAGCGGATTGGCCAAAAATATGATGTTGATTTAACAAGTGTTAACATCTTTAAATAGTCGTGAACTTTTGGAGTAAAGTATTTTTCCGCTTATTTTGCGCCTTTTTCTCTCGAGCTTAGGTCGCTGCATAGTTCTAGCTTGCGGGTTACCAGAATAGCTTAGGAACCGAATAAGCAATCAAATTAACAAGACTTATCAGACTTAATCATGTATAAATGTTATTTCCTATTTTATGGTGCGATGCGATCTCTTTGCCTGGTATGTTTGAAATAAATAATTTGTATAGTGGAAGCTATTATTGATGTCCTCTGGACTTAGTTCGATGAGTTAGACGAACAAAGAACCGGTTGAACGTCATTGGTTTAGTGTGTAGTGTCAGTTATTATGTTGACCCATATACCTTATTTTAGCTTTCGGACAGCTCAATGTATTCATTCTACTTGAGTCACATTCTGATCTTGTTAATTAATCGCTTATCAATCTTGACTGTTGTTGGGGACGATAGATCCCTAAAAACTCATATTTTGTAATTTTATCTTTGTAGAGCTTGTATGCAGATGTATGCATGGGCATTTCTTACCACTCATGCACATAGCCGATTGACGAACTTATCGATTAAATGTTTAAAAGCTCCGTGGCAATATCGATATATATATATATATATATATATATATATGTTTTAAAATTGTGTTTGTTGAATCGCTGGTTTTCTGATTGTTGCAGAATATACTTCCATTCTAAGCTTGGACTTTTCCCTCTAGATAGCGGGGCTGGAACGCATCAATACCTAGCTTACTGGTCTTTGGTCACCGAGTCTTGTTTCTCGTTCGCAGATTAAGTGAATTCGTGATAGCTTCAAACCTAGCAACTATTTTTATATAAGCGCTTAGATATGTGTTACACTTCTTATCCCATTACTCATCACATGTTTGTAACTTATTTTTGTGTAACTATAAATATTGATTAACATTTGATTAAATGAGAATTAGCTTATCCACCATCTCTATTACACGTCATTTCGCTTCTATCTATTTTATCTGCTGCATATAAAAAGTATATGTACTCAAAATGTTCATTCTCGTTATTTGATTAACGCAATTGATTATATAAGAGGATAGGCGATAAAAATCATTCATGTGATCTATTTCAAGTCAAATGTCTTGGATCATTAAAAGTGTACAGTATAATCGTGACAACTAACTGAGATGGACAACACTTTACATTAAAATAAATAAAAAAATTCTTTTTTTTTTTCTTATTCATTTATAAATGGAATAACAATTTCATTTTTTTTTCTTTTTTCTAAAAAAAAAACAGTCTAAATTACAAAAAACAAACAAACAAAAATAATAATTTTCTTACAAAATAATAATAATAATGATTATCCATGGAAGACTATTTCAATGATCGACTTGTATACACGTACACGTACACGTATACACACATGTAGACGTAGACGTCGACGTCGACGTAGACCAAGCATGAATTGATCATCTTTTTACAATAATAATAATAATTGGATCATTTAAAAGTAGGATCATCGTTTGTTTTTTTTAAAAGATCAAATATTGGTAGCAGAATTCATTATATGCATGTATAATAGAATTTGTAAAGTTCATATATATATTTATATATATATATACTAATCATAATCATATATAGAATATAAAAGATATTTCATTTATATTCAATAAATTTTCACATTATCATTTTATAATCTTATTGATCAAATCGGATTATTAAGAAGAATCTGATAAACTTGTCTTATTATTATTGTTGTGGTTGTTGTTGTTATTGTCATTGTTATTGAAATCTGATGAGAATAATGTAATCAATCGATTAGGTCGAGATTCTAACATTGTATTTAATTTTGTATGAGATTGAGAAAGTGAATTAATCCAACGTAAATTAGTGAAATTTGTTATTGGTGGTATTGGAAGACGATGACGGCAAGATTTTGGACTATATGATCGATAATTATGATTATAATTTAATTTTAATGAATCTTCTTTATATTCTTGAGCAAATTGTTCTTTCATTAACTATATATATATATATTCATTGAATAAAATTTGAAGAAGAAAAAAAGAAAAAAGAAAGATGATATACAATGAATTTCAATGGTCTCTAGAAGTTAAGCATTCGCATATAACACTAGACTGATAGGTCGCCCCCAAATGCCCTGGTATGGACGAGAGTGAGGTGGGCCGGCTCTCCCTCTCGAAATGCTCTCACATGGCTACGCGTATATAATCTCTGCCAGGGAAGTCCTACTCACTGCATTCTCGTGGCTGGGGTGTTGTTTACAAAAATGAGAGGACGAAAAGCGAATGTCCGGCGCTTTAACCGGACCCCAAACCAATGGTGCACATGGGCTCCAGTATCCTGAGGGAACAAATGGCGTATGAACCAATCGTTGGTCACCGGCTACCATGGGACTGCATCTCCTCACGATGCTCAACTGTCTTGTGGGTCAGACATTCAGGTCAAAGGCTCGGGGTGTGTCCCCCTAAGAAAACCACCTGCTTCGGTTTGGGCACCCGGGCAGTATCACAGCCCACGCACAAATAAAATGAAAATTTGCGTGGCGTATATATATTTGGTGCCCTCTTGTACCAATATTTATGTGTTCAAGTAAATAAATAAATAAGACTGATAGATTAGTCAGTCTTGAGTGCTGTTAGAGGTATGAGGGGCGGTTATTACTTCTCGGTTGCCTATACCGTGGAAGGGTTCTGCGGGAGGTACTTGAAAAGGAAATTGGACTAGAGTTCGTCATAGTGACCTGAGAGAGTGAACGCAGTGCCCAAGGGACAACTGCTTGAGGTCGGTCACACAAGACCTTTTTATGAGTAATTTTTGTGTTAGCTCCTTAGTTGTTGAGACCTTACCGCCGGAGACGGATATCCGTGGGATAAGGCGAGGTGTGCATTTTTAGGGTCGACCTTTTCTAGCCCCACTTTTCCTTGTGGGAATGCAGCATCGCTGCTATGCTGGTTTTATGAAATAAAAACATTACTGCTGTCACACCTCTGTAGAGTCAGCACTACGACTTCGCCTTCGGACCTTGGATTTGTTGCTTTTAGTCTTACCGCTCTTCAACCGACCTGTCTGGCATGGTAGGACCTTGAGGAACGGTTGTTCCAGCCAGTATAGCTCATTTGCTTTATCACGATAGGCAAGCCCGGCCACATCAAGGTAGCAACAACGGCCGGGACTGATAGGTCCTGGGTTCGAATCTCACGAGACGGGATTGTATATGAGC